TGCCCGTACTGCGTGGCCACCTCAGAAAGCTCTCGAACAGTGCGGCATTGTGACAATGCCTAAGATGCCAGCATTTCAACATGCATGTCCTGCTGTCTGGCATTCCACCCTGCAACAAGGATTGGCAGGCCCGGTCTGTGGCGCATTTCCTCGATGGCTCTTGTCACAAGCGCTGGGATGACAATATCTGCTACCTCCGGTCTGAAATGGAGGTTCTTGGAAGTGTAGAGCTGGTCCACCCCGGGCAGTTGTGCCAAATCCATGATTTCCTGATGGGCCAGGTTTTTGTCCGCAAAACCAGAGTGGACCCTGCCGTCAATCAGATAATCATAATTGACCTGCTTCTGAGGGAGTAGGCTTCGAGACAGCGGAATGAAGCGTACATTGATTTGCCCATCGAGGTGCTCCTCCAGTATGGAGGCCACCGCCTGACTCTGGACCGCAGCGCTCAACCGGTTAGATTCGAAGAGCGCTCCACGATCGACTGAACGCTGCCCGCCGAGATGTTGAGGGCGGCTTCCGGGCAGCTCAAGACCTGCCCCGTGAGAAGGGGGAACACCCCATAGGTGTGTCCCCGTAGCATGCGCTGCAAGGTGCTGTCGCTGAGCACCAGGAAGGGCCCCGAGCTGGGGGCGGCAGCCATGGCCGCAGCCATGATGCTACTTGGCCAGAGTCTGTGACACGCGGCCCGGAGTGGAGCTGTGCTCTCTGCCTAGAGTGGTCGAGACTGTCCAGGGAACTTCAAAGTTTGCCTTCAGTCAGTGCAGCTTGTTATGAAGCTGTTGCGACTAGGGCAGGATGACCTAGGTTTCCGAGAAGGTATTCTGATTCCGACAGCTGTTAGCTAAGGCTTCTGACGGCTGCGGTATTGTGTTGCTGACAGTTGGCTTGCGAGCACCACGATGACGGAAAGCATCATCCGCGGGCACTCGAACAGCTCCGAGATCTGCAGACTTGCCACCGAGGACCTGAAAGACGCTGCAGGTATGGAGTGTCCGACAGTCAGCAAAGCTGGAAGACCAGCAAAGTGGCATTACAGCTGGCGCCGGCTAAATTTCTCCGAAAAACCAATGACGGCTCACTGCAGATGCATTCAGCTAGTGAGTGGCTGTGCCACACGAGTAGGGAGGCTGTGCCATTCTCCTAGCTTGAAGTTCCTTCTCCTAACTGACAGCTGCTTCCGGGTCTCAGGGGAAATAGCCGTAGTTGTAGGCGGAGTGGGCCCAGTGAACCTCATTGTCCCTTCTTGCTGCATCAGCGTATCCAAAAGGACCGAGGGGGTTGCGAATCTTCTGCACCACTATGTTGTGGCGATGCTCGATGGGAATGATGATCTCCTCCGTGGCGAGATACCGCTGTGCTACGTCGAAGGATTGCACCATAGCTTGCGTGTTGAGTAACATTGCTGTCCTAGCTGTGCGCCAGCTGTTGACATGGGGCTTGTACTGGACCAGAGGAAGTGCTGCGCGGTACCAAGTTTTGCTGACCGTCACCATAGTCATGGTCAGCAGGAGATCGGGACGCAGGACCGCAAGCCGGACATGCACCCCTTGCCGGTCGTAGTCCACGTCGCAGTAGCATTGATCGAAGATAGCAACGCCATCAAAGACGCGGCTGTGGGCCCAGAGGTCAGCTGCCGCGCGTATCTCGTCCCTGAGCTGGTAGATGGGGAGCATGGTGCTATACGGCACGGGTGTGGCAGGGTCCATTTCCAACAGCTCCCTGTCCAGCCCTGCTGCGGAGTAGAAGTCAACGATGGCAGCTCCAGGGAGGACGGCGGCATGATTCAGCGCAGAGTGCTGGGGTCATCGTGGCAGGCACTATCTGGATCTGCAAACCCAAAAAGACTGCGAGGAAGCTTGTCAGTGGCAGGCTGGCATAGGCTTCCGAGTCAACTTTTAGAAATCAAACGCTGATCCAGCTACATGGTCTGTGACCATGGAGAGTGAGGCTGTGCCATCCAGCTTAGATTGGACTCTGCAGTACAAAAACTGGAACGTAGTCCGCCAGATCATAGTGGATGCTCAGGGCTTCACGGGAGATGGTGCCGACCTGCTCAAGCTTAACCTCAATGAAGGCTCCACTGCCCAGCTTGCGAAGGTGAACATATGCACGCCATACTCCAATCCATGGTTTGCCGTCGAGAAGGAGAACAATTTCGCTGCACCACGCACGGCAGACTGCCGCAAGCCGAACTGCCAGTAGAAGATTCGGATTCACAATCCCTAGCTGGGCATGTACTCCAAGATGATCGAGCTTGATTGTGTTACCGATGACGGAGTACTGCGAAAAGAGACTCGCTCTTGCCCAGTGGAGGAGAGATTCCTGCAGCCGCGCGCGAGCAGCCCTAGCGTCCTCGTACATCAGGTCCAGGTCGTCCCAGAAGAGATTGGCGGAATCGTCGTAAAAGTCAAGGATGAGCACACCCGGGAGGAGGTGGATGAGCGCATGGCGTAGGGAGGCCCCTTCAAAGAAGTTTAACATTGCGCCAAGAACCAGCTAGCGTGAAAAGCACATGAAGACAGGGCAGACAGGCACACCTTAGGCCAGCTGGCCCTTTTTTCCATTCTCTCCCACTTCTCCACTTGCCCTTCGGTGCGTCTTGGGGCTGTGCCCTTATGACGATGCTGTGGCGCTGTGCGCTAAAGACCAGACGAAGACGCAAGCTACATACAGCAACAGCATCAGTCCTGGGGCACGTCCTCAGCTTGAAGAGCATCGTAGATGTCATACAGGTGAGCATGCCATGCGTTGAAATCCGAGGGACGATGCGCAGCCGCGGGGTTGTTGCCATCCAGGGGGGAGGACAAGAGCTCCACCGGCATACGGAAGGCCATGGAGTAGGGGAGGTTGAAGGAGTCCGTACCCTCGCGCGCAGACACGGAGCCGGCTTCCGCAAACGCGACATTGCCACCAGTAGTTCGGCCGTGTTGATGCGGGCCTGTCCTGATATGGCACTGGCCATTAAATTGTGCCAGGTGTTGTTGACGGCAGCAAGGCGTCCCTGCATGTCAGGGTGTGGCGAGGGTGGCAAGGGAGAGATGCGAAGGGTGGGCCAGTGCTCGAAGCATTCCCGGAGCGTTTTCCGTAGCTGCATGAGCCTCAGCCATAGTATCCTTTGCAGTTATTCCCAGTGTCAAGGAGCCCGATGGCATGCCCGGTTCGGCCAGGCTCTCCCTGTCCAAAGCGGTCATCGGGAGGTAGAAGTCAGGGTTCAGGTGCATCGGCGTCAAGAAGAGGTAGATGCGCTGGACAATTTCACCCTCCATGACGGTACTCATCGCTAGCTGGCGGGCAAGCAAGAAGATCAGAGCCTAGAGGGCTTGGAAAGCAACCGTGCACACACGAGCGTTTCTTGTCTGACATGCGTAGTACCAACAGTTGTTACGTCATGAATCGACTGCAGGCGAGCTTTGTCAGAGACTGTGTCTCAGCAAATGGGAGGCTGTGCCATTCTTAGACTCTAGTCTTCCAAGCCCCCGGTTGGGAGACGGAAACCCAGTTCCCGCAGGCGCTGTTGCAGCGCTGCAGAGAAGCGAGAAGAACCCTCCACAGTGTAGGCAGCCAGGACTACTCGGTTGAAGGTAGTCCATGGGAGGGTGGCTTGCCATAGTGTGTCCGCACGGAATGAGATGCTGAGGCCACGAAGATCAAAGCTGCTACCCCGGACCATCTCACGTTGGTTCGGAATCTCCTGATAGTCAGAGTTGAAACCTTGGCGACCTCAGACACAAGCCGCAGATCGAATCTGAAGCCAGCCTTTCAAACTCCAAACCTTCAAACTTGCGAACTTTCAATCTATCGAACTTTCAACCTTTCGAACTTTGAATATTTGAAACCGTCGAATCTTCGAAAGTGCAAACTTCCAAAGTCGGAAACTCTCAAACTTCGACGGCCGATCGAACTCGACCGCGGCAACAGTTTGAAGTTTGAGTTTGAAGCAGCCAGTCGAGCTCGAAAGTTCGAGAGTTAGAGAGATTGAAAGTTTCAAAGCTTCGAATTCGAAAAGTTCGATCTTGGATTCCAGCTTGTGCATACCAAGGTGCACAAACTTTCGAACTCCAGCACTTTCGAAACAGCCCTCAACACTGTATGCCCTAAGCTTTAAGTTAATTGCACGACCCTGAGCCTGAACCCCAAACTTTTGATCCACCTGCTTAAAGTAGTTGGCATGGCGCGAATGCTCGGAGAATGCTACCGTGCCAGGCACAGCACCTCTCAAACTCTGCGTGCCAGATTGTTTGACTGGCTTGCGTACTTACTGTCTAGACGAACTGACCACAAAATGCACGGCGGAACTGCTTTACTCTGTTTGAAAGTCTATTTGCCTTGTGGCGCTTAGCAGGATGTGCAAGATCTTCTGCTCACATGCGTGCCGGCAGAGCCGCTGGCTCTGTGAGGCGGCACACAGTTGGCTGGGAGAGCAGTAGACTAGAGATTGTCTGCAAGAGGGTTGGGCTGATTTTCGACTCAGCCTCTGAGGCTGTTTTCGTTCTGGGGGCCCTGGTTTTCGACTCGGGGGCTGCCCGGATCTCGACTCAGCAGGCCTGACTTGAAAGCACTTTTGCCGACTTGACAATCACTCGGGCAACAAGTCTGAATTGACAGGCGAACTGGGCCACGAGAAAACAAACATGTTGGCAAAGCTCATGAAGTCCCTGCCGAGCCTGCACTGGAAATCTCTGACCTGCGAGCCAGGCTCGGGTGTGGCACATGGTGGCACCAAACAAGCATGACTTGGGCAGGATACTCCCAAACCGAGTCTTACTTGCAATTTGTGGTGCAAATTTGGTGAGCCATATCGTTTCCAGCTCTTTCTTAAGCTCCTCATCGACAGATGGACACATCTGTAGGTCCACACGTCGGGCAGATCCCGGAAAACTGACGGAGAGGATAAAGCGGTAAGGGTGCAAGCTTGTGCTGCACAACCGGGGTCTCTGTGCCCCGCAACAAAAGTCAAAATTCGCGGTGGGTATGACGGCAAAACTCAGCCTAATGGCCTAGCGCTCTGAAGGGCGGTGCATCTGGTGGAAGGCAGTGGAACTGCCGGTTTCGACGCCACGTGCCGGAGTGTTCGGAGCCTTGTAACCTCGGAAATCCGCTTTGTCCGAGTCCGCTCCGCCCTGAGCCTTTGGCTTCAGCTCCTCCTCGGCGATCTCGACAGCATAGGCAGTGCTCTGCATTGCCCCTGCGACTTTCACATCCTCCGTCTCTGTCTCTGCATGCTTTGGATTGGTGCCCGAAACTTGCTCGGACTCAGTCAAGGTCTGGCCCCTCCACTGCAGCAGCTCCAGATGGCCCTCAGCGAAATCCTCCTGGCAACACCAACTATTGGACATGGTCGCATGTGGCTGACTGTGCATCAGCTCCTAAGGAGCAACTGAGATATTGGGCAAACTATCTAAACCGATCCAACCGATGAGTCCTGCAGAGCATCAGACAGCGTCTGATCCCAAATGTCACTCGATCGCACCACCAGGACTTGCAGAAGGCAAAATGCCAGAGCGGAGTTCATGTCGTATTGCGCAGCGGACCGAAAAGCGGCGGAGAACAAGGACTACTGTGATGACTGCTGCCTTTCCACCAACTCTGGGCTTGAGCATCGGAATCGACATCGATTCTTGGGTCCCTCAGTGTCTTAGCACTGTGTCAAGCCCCTTGCAGACTGCCGCAGACGACCCCCACACGACATGCCTACTTAGGGAAGCGTGCCTGGTGGTGGCATCGGTTCGAAGTGTGCGAATGCTCGCATCCACTGTCCCACTAGGAGACGACACACGTCCGTGCACCAAGCACACATAGCGCTTGGAGATCTCAGTTTTGTGAAACCTGCCGGAGGCGAATGCTGAGTAGGTATGCCGTCCGGAGTGACATGCAGTTGTGGACCAGTGCCACAAGTACGAGCACTGCATCTGCTGGAAGGACGAACACTAAACAAAGAGGAAGTAAGGAAGGGAAGAGCGGGCCTATTGCGCAGCAAGAGTGCAGGTGCCGCATCCAGAAATTCGTTTCGTACAGTGCATACCCTCCGTATTCACCAGGAACCAGCATTCTTGAAGACTTCCTGAAATCTCCAAGTCCGGACGCATGAGATTCCGGCTGTGCACGCAGGTGCCGCTGAGCCTTAGGACAATAGTGCATAGAGGCATGCGTTTGCATGATCCGTCTATCTTCGAGGTATATGAGCCTTGTTTCCGATGACCTCCTTGGTCATCTCTAAGATGCTGGCAGCAGCAGTTTTTGCCGCCAGCAAGGGCCCGCTCGTCTCCTGGATCTCTCACTGCATGCCCTTCATGTTCCATGTTTCTGTGGCACTCGGTGGAGAATGGAGAAATGTGGGAGGCACTGGGCACGGACGTAAACCATGCTGGAAGCCTGGTCGATGCGGTGCGACAGAGGACCAAAGCCCGTCCCTGACAGAGCCGGGTTCGACCTGAGCCCGGCGAGTGGTCGCATTCGTCCAGTCCAGTCCAGTCTTGGGCCGAAGCTCTTCTTCGAAAAGCTTTGGATCGATGCCGGCGACCTCCAGGCAGGGCCAGGGCCAGGGCAGTCGCTGGGAATGCGGGGCACAGCGTGACTTCCGCACCTTGTCCCTCAGCCAGCTTGGCAAGTGGAGGCCTTCCTGCTCACTCTTCTTTTTGGAGGCCTTTGTGTGATCCAAGAAAGGCCTCTGGAGTTCCTTTGGGCGGCAATTCCACCTACCAACGCCCAGCGACACGTATTTCCAGAGAATGCCAGAGATGCCACAATGCACCTTCCAGTGAGGTGGCTTGTAGAGTACAAGCCTTGCAGCCGGGGTGATCAAGTACCCCCAACCTTCAAGCGCTGTCCATAGCTGGCCGAGGCTGGCACATCTGGTCCAAGTCAAGCACAACCTCTGGCCTGGGATCAGCCCATCAGTGAATCATTGAGCGAGATCGATGGGGTTGCTTCACACCTTTGCAATGTCTGGGATGCACTCCTTCAGCAACTGCCATCGCAGGCCAATGCATGTTGTCAATGAAGAAACAAGCAAGTCGCTCAGAGAGGTCCGACAAAGGAAGCGTGCTGAATGAGAACCTTGCCATGAAACGGGAGAGGTCTTGCTCTTGCTTCCTGTCGATGCAGCCTGCAACGTCCGAAGAAAGAGTGAATATTCCCGGCCATGCACAATGCACAGTGCAGTAGGTCCTCTGCGCGCGCGTTGCCAACACTCCCCTTGTCTGGCTTAGTTTACAGTGTTTCGGAAGTGCGAGTAGGAACGAGCGACGTCAGTGCATGCAGGCAGGAGCAGCTGGGCTTTGGACCGGGTTTCGCACAACAGCTGCTTTGGGTCGCCTAGAGTAGCTCTCGTGCAACTCCACCCGATTGCGTCTAGTGCTTCGAAAGTTCTGAGTGAGGCACGGAGGTGCCGGATGGTTTTTGCGCACCTTTCCAAGTCACCCATGTAGGCCCCGAGAACACAGTAACCTAAGACAATCATCCCGACAGCGGATCAAGCTATGGTGCTACAATCTGATCAGTCTTTGAAGCCTCGATGTCCAGTGGAATGACATGCATGGCCGCCTGGCAAAAAAAAGGCCTGATCTACTGACCGGCACGTTATATACCTGCCGGGTTTCGAGGCCAGCTAGCCGCTAGCCCTTTGCCTCCACATTGCCAGGCCGCGCCTCGCGCAGCCTCCCAGCACAACGCACGTCAAAGCATCCTGATTCCCCTGACCGCGAATTTCGTCGTGTTGAAGTCATTTTCGACAACATGTTCCTGCTTAGATTGCGCCGAGCTTCTGAGTTCGACAGTTCTGGAATGCCGACGCTTCTACTGTCGGTCAACATAAGGGAAGAATGAGGCAGCCTTTTCCACAAAAACGCTGCCCGCTTCTTGCTGCGATCTGAGGCCCGGTACCTGCACAAGAGCGGAATCCCCCAGACGAGACGCTATTCTTGCATCGTGTCTTGGAAACCCGTATGGTGCGAGCAACGGAAGATGACATCAATTACGATCCATCGCTCTGGCACCATTGGACCCGGTCTGGCTGCTTGGCCATGTCCGATGGGTCCATGAAGTAAGACCTTGGTTTGTCTGTGATGTGTAAAGCTCTCGTCCATCAATCGCTGAGTTGCTCAGCGCCCAGCTCTCCCCACCACAACCTTGAAGCAGCTGCATCGAAGGTGAGACGAAACCTGTTCGTGGAGCAACCCATACCATGCAAGAAAAGCGATTCAAACCGAATTGCTCTGCCGCGAAGTGGGCATTCTAGCAAAGCACTTTCAGTTGGGTGCCCAATCGAAGCCAACAGCAAGTTTTGACATGCTGGGAACCAAGCTTTCTCGACTCGGCTCCATTTTTTCGCACACCTCAGCTGTCCAAGGGATCGGCTTCTCCCACATTCCTGCTCCGCCCCAGATACAGCACAGCCCCGCTCTCACTTGCCAAGGCCGTCGCACGACCACGAGGTACTGCTGGAAAACTCGAACGAATAGGTTTCATTCAGGTCGCTTTCCTCGAAATGATTTTCGAGCGTATCGCGACGCAGATGCACACGTCGTTCTTGCAGCGCACGCCTTGCCCCAGACGAAATTCAATCTGCCCTTGACTTCGGCAATCGTGGGTGGCATCGTTCCCTGGCATTCAATGCAACATGACCCCAACAAACAAAACATATTTTGCACAAAGCCAACAGCCTTTGCCTGTCAGCCAAAAGCCTTCGATTACAGCCATGTTGGCTGCCATAATCCGCCGTGCTCATTTCCATTAACAGGAAGCCTAGACTGCCTAGACTAAACGCTTTCGTGTGTTGCGAGGCCTACAAAAACAGTCGGGCATCATGCTAATCCGCTAATGCTCAGGAAAGCTTGTTCTTACTCAAGTTGGAAACCGCACAGTGTTGATTCAGTCTGTTCGAGAACCAACATGTAATTAGGTGCACAGTATGATAATTAACCGAGGTTGTACACCTTTGTTCCCGCTTCTTGATTGTCACAGGATGCACAAAACGGGAACATGCTCGACGTGTTGATTGCAATTGCAGAACGCGTGAATGCTTTTGTCGCTCCCTTTTCGTATGTTGCTCCCTATTTATGGCTGGAAACCGTTGGCTGGGAAGCCTTGGGGAGGCCCTGGGAGGCTGGCGGGCCGTTGGAGCCAGGTTTGTCTGAAGGGGATTTGGGAAGGATTCCAAAGCTACTCTACAGGGTTGTGACCAAGGCGTTAAAATCATTTCGAAGAGCTTTAGCAGGATATTGACACAGGAAGAAATAAGCGGTTGTAGAGGTGAAAGGTGATGCTAAGAAGATTTCAACGGAATGTTAAACAGATTTTCGGTGGATTTTGAATGGATCGTATAGAAGCTGATACAGAGATTATAGATCGAATTTGAAGGAATTTAAACATCAAAAGTTTATCAACATGATTCCGAATGCTTCTTGTTTGATTTTTGACAAGACAATGCTTTAGCACTCGATGCACTCTCTTGTTAGCATGTGGCCAGCGGTGCAGGCAACGCACCGTGGTTGTGGGCTGGCGGAACTTTTCAAGAGATCAAACGCTAAAGCCAGTCCTACGGAACGAATAGAAAAATTCACGGCCCTGACCAAACAAGTAACATTCTAAACAGGCTCGCACTGCTCTACTCTAGCACTCGATAGACTATGCGACTTGCCGAGGGGGCCTAGGCTCCGGAGCGCAAAGGCAAAATCAAAACAAAAAACCCTTTCAGGGACAAATGCTACCGGTAATAGGCACATTCCCCCACCGCGGGCGGCGTAGATGTACCTGGGTGAGTATTAAAGTGCCCTTGTCAACGCAACTTACCAACGCAGCTCAACACCGCCTTCACCGGCTACACGCAATTCCCACCATAACCCTGTTGATGCCATCATAGCCACTTCGGACCAAGCACTGTTTAGCGCACACTTCTGCTCCATGCAGGATCTGCGCAAACACTGGACTTCTTATCAACGCATGCCCAGAAATAAAAGCCTGGTTTGAAAACGCTGGCACAGCTGGCTTTAGCTATATCAACAGCACGCCACCGAAGATGGAGTAAGCAAGCTCTTTAACACCAGCTGGCCTCTGTCCGACTTAGGCTTGGTTGCGTCCCAGAGCTCAACACATGGGGTTTACATACAACAGTCTGTCGGTTGTCGCTGGCATGCACCCAAACGCAAACAACTCCAATACAGTTGCACACTGGAGCAACGGTTGAATTATTTCCAGCCAGGGCTCGAATATTTGCTGCGGAAAAGTCGTAAAAGTAACTTGCTGCGGCAAGCTTCAGCTCCGAAAAAACCCATTGCCATAGTTGAGAAAACCTGAGTGCGGCCACTGCAAGTTTTCCGCCGCACAACGAGGCGTCAAATCAAGAAAAGGACTACCTCCGTAAGTTACATCCATGAAATTTAGCTGGCATGACAACAAAGATTCTTTCTTGCATGTTTGCCTTTTGAAATATCTAGTACCCCAGGCGGCTCGCGACGGCACAGCTTTTCCACATCTGCACAGCAAGGGATCTCGCGTGATACAGGGGACCTTGAGAGGTCGTGGCAATCGCAACAAACACCTCATGTTGAGCATGCTCCGTTAAGGATTCCGGATGGCTTGAAACACTTCACATGACCATTGGTCACTTTCGCACATCCCGGAGTTAACATGCTCAAACATGGTGAACATTTGATTTTGGCCACTTCTTCATCATCTATCAAGATGAACCTCCCTTCCCGGTCGACCCTTTTGAAGAGATTGGAGGGTGCTCCACGCTTTGGCTTTGTGAGAACGTCAACGATCATGTGACGAGTTGCCATCCATCTCAAGGACACGTTGTACTTGGAGATGTCCTCCTTCACAAGCATCATCTCAATGGCAACCCTCTTATCCTTGACCGCCAAGGTAGGACCGCCAACGTGATCGTACACTGTACACTGGTTTGCAGTCAGAGTTGTTTCCAAACTGTAGAATAGCCAACAAAACCAGTTGGCCGAATATACCCCAAACGATACGTGGGGAAATCAGAAATATATTTCCGTCGCAAATATAAATGCCCATCAATCAACGATGCACATGTTGCAACTGAAGAGGCAAGACTACCGCTCTCGACCAATGTTTTAGCAGCGAAGCTCGCCGGTAAAGGTTGTGTGAAATGAGGAGGCCACCGCAAGGAGATACACACCTTGCCAATGAAGTTGCATTTCGCAACCTCAATCTGCCCCTCTTCGAAGAATGACGGAACGCTACTTCCAAGGAGCCCTGGCCGACAGCTTGGTAGCCTTAGAACGTTGGGCCGGATTTGTCTGCCGCGAAGCCTCGCGCTTTCGTGATCTCCACTCCGCGATATCTTGATAAAGCGAAGTTCCCAGTTCAAGCATCTCCTTCATGATCACAGCTTTGTAATCCTTGAAGAGAATCGAAGCTTCAACGCGGGATCGAAACTTTTAAAATCCTGATTTGTTAAAGCATCGGCCAAAGCGTTTTGTAACCTCGGCGCCCAATGAAGCTCGAGCGACAAGGAGCGCCCTTGAAGAACAGTCGCCAATTCCATAAGCACTGCGACCAGTGGGAAGGAGGTGGTCAACCAACGAGCAGTAAGCAGGCTGTTGCCCCTGTTGTCCGTCGCAGCGCTGCAAATGAAACTCGCCGCCTTCGTGTTAGGCGGGGTTTCGAACAAGATCACTCCCACCAGAGTCGCAAGTAACTCGAGCGATGCTATGGCACGATAAGATTGGCCTGCCATGTGAAACCACGGAGCATCCACATGTGAAATCTTCTCGGCGAACCATTGGCACTTGCGAGGATCCGTGGACTGACCAGAAGCCCACCCTCCGATCCACATCTGATCTCCCTCAGATTTTGCGTCCGTGCGGAAGAGCTCCACAGTCGCGCGCTCCTTACGGGGCAAAAAAGTTGCGCGAAGATCCTTCAAGAAGAAGTGCTCAAGAAATGAAAGAATCAAGACAACAGCCTTCGGGAGTTTCAGAACATGACAATGCCTCACAGCAGCTACCCAAGCGTAAAGGGGCCTAGGAAAGGACGTAGCAGAGGCAAAACTGTCAGGCCGAAAGAAAGTCTCCCGACCACAGCTCCCATGTCAGCAATGTTCACGAAGCCATCGGCATTGACCTTCCGTATCCAGCATATCATCCAGTCCGAACGTGACTTGGAGATGCTCAGAAGCCTCTGATGTGCCGAAATGGAAAACCCAATCCAGCCATGTTCCGCTCCACCTCGAAACTTATGCCATGCGAATGGAACTCTGTTAAAGAACGGGCTTCACTAAGGGTTCCTACCCTCACACACTGTCGGACACTTTTGCTTTCCTGGGCACGTGTGTCCGGGGTCTCGAGCCTGCACGTTGCATGTGCGTGACTGGCTGTTCCTATGCATTAGCACTGTGGTTCCTGCAGGTGTACTGTCACAGGTGGAATGTTTAACACCCCGCCTTCGAAGTTAGTGCCGGTAAGTTCCTTTACCAAACTGGCTTCGACACTTCTTTCCTTTACAAGACAGTACCTGCACGACTTTCTTTTCTACTCGAAAACAACTGTTGTTCCTCTGTGCAAACGCTACCGTTCACTCGCAATCCTCTCCAAGGTTGCTCGACTGTACAAAACTGTTCCTGAACTTACTTAGATCACCACAGAAACAAAAAGGGCTGTGCCACGGTTCCTGTGTCCTGCTTCACTGCTCTTTCCTCGGCTCTCTGGCCTCAGTACTGCTCGCTGTTCCTTTGCTTCACTGGAAGTTCACTTCGCCTTTGCTTCCTTCTTCTTCTTCTTCGTCGCTGTCCTTGCTAACTTCCTTCTGCTGCGCAAGCTGGTCCTTGAGAAACTCCTCAAGCTGCTTTGCCTGAGACTTGCACTTTTCCTTTCCTTGCTTGTCTTTTGATCCTGCTTTCCAACCTGTTTCCTTGGATCCTGAATACCAGTACCACTGGGTCTTCTCTTCGTTCCACTTCCACTGGTAGTTCCTGCCTTGGAAACCGTAGACTGCAAACCAGTTTCCTTCAAACTCTCCGCGGCCTCTTCCTTTCAAGTACGACGCTTCGTTCACTGGTCCTTTGGCGGAAAGTTCTGGGTCGTCTTTTCCTTGCTTTCCTGGCTTGTGCTGTGTCACGTTTGGTGGCTCCTTTCCTGCTTCCTTTCCTTTTCCTTTTCCTTCCGGCTTCTCCTGTTCCTTTGTTGGTGTTGTGTCTGGATCTGTGGGTGCCTGCGACCCGGCTGCCGATCCCCTGCTCTCAAGCTCCTGTGTAAGGCTTGCAATCCTTTCCTTATCCTCCTTGCGTTCCTTTCTCATGTCCTCCATCATCTGTTCCAGCTTCTTGATCCTGTCTTCTTCACCTCTCGGTTCCACT